CATATCCATAAATTGAACAAACGTACAAAAATAAAAAGTTAGTTAAAATTGCTACTCTAAGCAGATGGCAATATTTGACATACTGGTGTACTGATGTTTGAAACAATGAGATACAATAAAGGAAAAACAAAATGTGTTCTAAAGCTAAAAAATTTATATTGTATAGTATAATATATATATATATATATATATATAAGGATCACTCAGACGAGTGGTGGGTTCTTATATCGGTCTCTAGGTGGAGAAATAAAAGACAAAGTTGATAGGCTACTTTATCTATTTTGAAGACGTTTCGCTTTCGAGTTTTGAAAGCATCATCAGTTCATCTAAAAAATTATTACAATATGAGAACCACACAATCATGGAAACGATGTTAATTGTTACCTTAAAAAGATATGTAGCAGTCAATGTTATTAACAAATATGTGAATGAAACTAAGTAAATGGACATAGTACGCTGATCTTGTATAAACAGTTAAGCAACTAACAACATATATGAACTTGTACAAAAATTAGCACAGCAATTGACCATGTGATCCAAAATAAATTCAATGTTATTTATATTAATAAGTGAGAAAGAACCAAGAAAATCATAAATAACCTCCAACTATTTAATGGATATTAAACTTTGATTTTAACTTTAGGTAGCATTATAAGTAATATTAATAAAATTCTACAAAATAGTGAATATGAAGTTACCGATCAAAGCCTTGTGGATGTCGCCGTGAAAATGGCGTTAGATGAAACAGGAACGAACTAACCGCAAAAAGACAGCCAACCTTGAGGTCAAAATTACTTTTGACAGATCAACAAGGTGTAAATACCAACCCAGAATTTTGGGCGGTTAATTTAATTTTTTATATTTTATAACTGAGTCTGGATGACTTCCAGGTTGTAAAGGACAACAACAGTGAAAAAAGTTGGTAGTGTACACACAACTCCCCTCACTAACCGGCCCAAATTTACAAACCGGAGATTTGCATTCAAACTCATAATAATGTGATGACGTTAATCATGTGGCAAGTTAAATAGTCAGGTGATTAACGATATTATAATCTCCATACAGCCCATACAGCTCCATATATACATATATATATATATATATATATATATATATATATATATATATATTATATATATATACGCAGATGACACACTTATACTAGCAGCGAATAAAGTCGAAATGATTACCATCATCGAACGGCTAAGCCGAATAAGTGAAGATTTCGGACTTCAAATCAACACCAGAAAAACAAAAATAATGATTGTAGACAGAGCAAATAATAATCTACCGCATATACGCCAAATAGGGATTTTCGAAGTAGTCGACAGATTTGTATACTTGGGCTCTCTGATAACCAACAATGGTGACTGTTCCTCAGAAATCAAACGTAGACTATCAATGGCCCGAACCGCAACTGCTAAATTAATTAAAATATGGAAAGACCGAACAATAACAAGGAATACTAAGCTTAGGTTGGTCAATGCCCTTATTTTTACCATTGCTACATATGCAGCTGAAACATGGACTCTCAAAAAAATCGATAGGAGTAAGATCGAAGCCTTCGAAATGTGGGTATATAGAAGAATTCTACGCGTATCCTGGACAGAACATAGAACCAACCTGTCAATTCTGGAAGAGCTTCATATAAAAGACAGGCTACTAAAAAAAGTAAACCAAGCATACCTAACTTACTTCGGCCACATAGCTAGAAGAACGGGCACCATGGAACTATTGGTAGTAGAAGGTAAGGTAGAAGGCCGAAGACCAAGAGGAAGATCTCCAATAGGATGGGTGGACCAAATGAAGAGTTTGGTGGGAAAATCCCTACATGAAGCCGTCCATATGGCACAAGATCGCAGTCAATGGAGACAGCAGACTAATAATATTTAGGGTGTCACTACGCCCTGACAAGGGCTAAAGGATTGAGGAGGAGATATATATATATATATATATATATATATATATATATATATATATATATATATATATATAATATATATACATATATATATATATATATATATATATATATATATATATAATATATATACATATATATATATATATATATATATATAATATATATACATATATATATATATATATATATATATAATATATATACATATATATATATATATATATATATATATATATATATATATATATATATATATATATATATATATATATATATATATATATATACAGACTGATGACCCGGCGAAATTCGTACCGTCTTAGAATTAAAGATTAGTCTAAAAAACAAAACAAAAATACTGAAACATATTGGAAACATGGAAAGTTCCGCAAAGTTCCAACGGTGGGCTTTGTGATGTTTTTGCGAAAGCAAAACGGACGGCAAATTTTAAACGTTTAAAACCAAATGGTGCGTTCGCGTTCGTTGGAATCATCGGTATACGCGGGATCAAAATAGCCTCTCCTTTTTATTTTTCATTGATGATCGTAGCCTTTTCACAGTCAGTCTCGTTCCATTGCACAGTCAATGTTGATTAATGTTACGCAGCATAATGGTATAACTGATCCTAATTTTAATTTCAAATTGTTAGGTGGGAGTCTAGGCACTTACAATGAATTAAAAAACTTTGTAGAACAGTGGAATACTGTTCAACTGTGTCAACTGATTTTAACGAAAATTGAACTGGTGAGCTGTATCTGAAAAACCATACTAAATAAACTCGGCCCTAATCTACTACACTCGATGCATAAACAATAATAATGGCCGAATACTGTGTAGAGTTTTCGAAGTGAAAGAAGGCTTATTGTGTGAAGAAGACAGGAGACCGGCTTTGTTCTCATCCCTACTCTGTGTTGTTTGCTGGGTAAGAAGCGACACTGGTGGACGTCTGGCAGGAATAAAGTCATTTACATTTACGAGTACTCGGATACGAGTTTCTCTACTCGGAGTGCAACTCGGAATTATAAACGTCTACTCGGAGCTTCTTGTCACTCGGATCCGAGCTCGGATTGAAGTTGAACGCAAACCGAGTAGCAGTAAGAGTTCCTGTACGAGTGAGCGTCAAAGTGGTGGAAATTCCAAATTAAAAATGGCGGAACTAAGATTTTCTGCAGATCAAATGGATCAATTTATCGATCTTTATCGTTCTTTTGAATGTTTATGGAATGTGAAACTAAAGGAGTATCGGGACATTATCAAAGGAAATAATGCTTTAAATTAAATTAAATTAGGTAATCATTAACTTTAACAAACCTCTTGTAAATGTTGTTTCACCCAAATGCTTTTCTTTGTCTTAATTTTTTGTCGTAATTTTTCTCCTTTAAAATGTTTAATAACACTAATGCAACAGCAGCTCGTTTCTTTCGTGATGGCGTCATTTTTAAATTCTCTTTGAAACTACTCTGATCGCTCGAATTTAATGTAAACGATCGCAGTTCCACTCGTAACTCAAATCCGAGCTACTCGGATCCGAGTACTCGTAAATGTAAAGCGACCTTAACTGATCTAGTGATAATTGATTTAGTTATCGAACAGGATTAAAATGATTCAATTAGTAACATGGCTATTAAAACATAATGGTTAGTGATAGAAGGGTGAAAATTAAGAATTGGATTGTTTAATGCCACATCACATAAAAAGAATTAAAAATGTTGTCCAAAAAATAAAAAATATTGTTTGAGTGGATCACTCTTATAACTTACGGATATGAAAAATGAATTACGACCGAATCTTAGATCTACCAAAAATAAATATAAAATTTCAAATAAATTGGTCAAGCCGTTTTGGAGGAACCTCTGTGACACTAATATGGCTATTAAAAATAGAAGTTGGAGAGAAAAGAAAGAAAATTAAGGGCTGTCTGTATTTTCTAAAGCCACATCATAAAAAAAATATTATTAACATATTATTATCATACTTATTTCACAACGTCACAAATTAGACGACCAAGCAATGGACAAAAGGGATGGAGGAGAATGAGTAATGAAGCCACGGATTTACTAGGTTAAATGCGCTTATTATTCGCCACTCGCGTCGATTCCTAGCAACTTCCCTCCATCTTCTGACCCTTAGAAACCTAAGGTTTGAACTATTTTGTTGCTACACTTTACAGTTTTTTTTACAATTTTTTCTACGGCTCCATTTAAAGTATTTCAATAGTATTTCATTTCTCCATATTAAATTAGCACTATCTTTCGTATTTCAACTTATTCCTTTAAATACAAGTAATTATTATGGTTCGGTTCCATGCATCTGTAGACCCTCAGCATTTCATGTTTTGTGGCTCTCTTCACAATTTTCCTTTATGCAGAAAAATATGTACAAACTATTTTAAATGGATAAAATATTTGAAACAAGTAGGATGAAAAATAAAATCCATAAGGAAACTGAATTCCTGTAGTTGGCCAAGAATTACAAAAATCTTTTATTTAAAAAAATCCTTTAGAAACGTTATATTATAGAAGTTACCATGTAGCTAATTCCGTTTATAACTTAAACATCCTAGTTTTTTAATTTAGAGTTAAGTAATTTAGAATTAATTTAACTGCATTTAAGGAGTATTTAGTGGCATGAAACATGTAAATCCAGATAGCACAGATAATGAAAAAGATATTCCAAAAACGTTCTGTTATGTAGCCCGATAGGGTTTTTCCAAATATACCTTTTATAAAGGTTTTTTTTTTAAATAAAAATTTATTTAAAAAGTAAAACGTAATCAATTAAAAAATGAGGTGAATCACCACAACAACGAATGACTCCAAACTGTACTTAGTAGAAACTATTAAACATAGAAACAAATATAAAGTTGGACTTATTAAAATCAATAAATTGAAGAAACATAAAGATGGAAAGAAACAATCACAGATAAAATATGAAGTAAAAAAATGTTGTTTCATGATAATAAATAAAACGCCATCTACTGAAATTTATGTTATTTTTTTTGATTTCTACATAGTTAAAGAAACCCATTTTATATTGTTTGCGATTGATTTAGTCCATACAAAGATTAAAGACCTACCCTGGTTCACCGCCAGCCTCCATATTATTAGCTAGTGTTACGTCGTTGGACCATACATCGTACTGCCACTTTCTAAGACCCAGGACTCCGCAAAGTACTCTTCCAGAATGGATTCCGACTCTCATATTCAGTTGGACATCTGTAGCTTCCACAACGCTCGCAATTGCGTCGATCATATCCAGTCCCATCTCTACGGCGCAATGCGCATGGTCAGTTCTTGGTTCTGGAAGACCTGAAACGCAGTAGTAGCAGTCACCGAGGATTTTTATTCGCAAACAGTGGTTATCCTGTAACAAAAAAAACATATAAACACATTTATATATTTTGCAGCCATATTTGATAATTTATATTATCAAATAATAAAAATTCCAGTAAGACAAAGTATCTCCAAATTATCCAAACACCTGGATATGCCGACCTAATATCTTCTAAAATTTTAACAAAAATGATGTTTTTAATTTACATCGAACATATTCTTTTCGAATAACCCTCAGAAGAAGATTAACCCCCAAATCATATCATTTAATTTTCAATTAAACAAATTTAAAAAATTAGTGAAAAATATTTTAACATGACAGCTTCAACAAATTTAACTGCATACTCAACATACAAACTAATCTTCTTAGATTGTAGTAAATATTGTTTTGTTGCTTAAATAGTGTCAGAGACGCAAATGACACTGAATCTCTAAAAATAGTACGAACAAGCTGAATTTTGCTAAGAATGTTAACTTCGAGACACTAAACACTATGCAAAAAAGTTTACCACTCTTATCCTCGGCTTCACCCTAAAACCCTAAAAAATGTTTATTGACACTTAGTGTGTAAAATAAACTGTTGCCTCAGAAACATTGCTACGAGCGACCGGTACGTCACGGTAAATGCTTCCACGAAGACGGTTCTGTATATAATTTGTAGCTGTAGTCTCGAAAAACGTACTTGTGTAATCAAAACGAAGCAGTTTTAAACATTTTGTATCGTTTATAATGTTAAAGTTTCAATTTGTAATTTAGAGTTTTTTAGTCCTATTTCTCATGTCTCACAATTTGTTGCCAAAAACTTAAAACCGAAATTTCATGCTATACAAAGTTTATTTAAATTTATTGATTTCGCGTGACATTCAAAAGCTTTGTTTTTGAGCGAACGGTTCATTTTACAAGAAAAGTGCTAATAAACTTTTTTCTTCAAATTAACTCAGCTACATTTTTTATTTGAAACATTTTTTCTGCGGCATACAAATTCTTGGTAAATCACATATAATCAATACAGATCAACATTCAAATGGTTACCTATACTAGAATTAAATCGTATCTTTTATCTGTTCTGAATGATCCTCAGACAGTATTATAGGCATCGAAGTCATTTACGACAATTCTAGGTTTTGAAATTTGCCCAATAATATTTCAAAGTATTTAATACTAAAAGAATTTTGACGGTTACAGCTTCCATATTTGTTTGTAAAGATATCTCTAGAGCAATCTAAGATTATAACATATATTGATACTCCCCACTGGCCTTGTTTTGATTGTTCCAATTTTATGGTAACTGTTAAAATTTTTTAGGTGATACATTTTACTTTCTTTAGGTTTTTAACAAGAAATATTTTTCAAAACATCTGTAGTCACGTAAAGGTAAACTCACAGCGGCCCGGAAAAGTACCACCCACAATTAATATCAAATTGTCCATATTTACATCTCCGTAAAAAATTTCGGGTTCGCCCCTATAAAATCATGAGATGATCTAAATAAGATGTGAGAACAAAAAAGTATAAAAATTAACGAGCAGACTTTCTGCAACTTTCAATATTCTTGTTAAAATGATTACTTTTTACTTATTTTTTTTTCTCAAATTTGAAACTTACTGTTAAAAAAATAGTAATTTCTAAATTACCATCACTATTACATTATTACACAAAATTAGAAACAAGTAGTACGGGAAGGCACTATTGGGACCAATTGAGTTAAACAACTTTTTATTCTGTGTCATATTATTGGGTCAATTTGTATTTAGAGGAGGTTACATTCATCCTCAACTGCCCCTTAATTCCTCCTCCTCCACACTGTCATTCCATTGAAAATACTATTTTATTTTGCAGTTCCTGCAAATTATATATATTTAAAATAATATATTCAATAGGTCAATTGCAGAGGTTTTATCGGTAAATTATTGGTATATAAAAGATGTCAACTACTTTATTGGTTTACTAGAACACGTTTCGCTTTTATTATTTTTTACAAGCATCCTCAGTTCTCTACAAACAGTGATGATAGAATATAAGTAAAAACGAACAGGGTTCATACTTACAAAACAAATTGTAGATTTTTTGGATGTTATGAAAACTATACGATAACTTTACATTAACATTAAAACTTAACAAACTAAACGAGAAACCAAAAAAAAACACAAGAAAAATTGTATGCCAGCACTGTTGTTCATTTACTTAATTTTTAGGCGATTTTTTTATTTTCAGTGATGGCTTCATTTGGATGTTTTGTTAAAGCTTTTTCAAGAGTCAAACCACACTAGTATAACTTTCAGTTGTTTGTTATCCGTTGTTGAATGGCTTAGTTCCACATGTGGCTTGCTTTGGTACATGTGTTTATTTGGAATGCAGTGAGATACGATTACCGAGGGAATTGGTAAAAAAATTATTTTTTTGAAAAGAATTTAATTTTTTTTTATAGTATATTCAATGGAGAATGGACTAATTTAGACTATTAGTTAAAGAAAAAAAAAGAATAAAAGGAATATAAAGTTCTTATTTGTTCTTTTGGTTTTTTATTTGTTCTGTATGATGAGAGAGTGATATATCTGGCTCAAGTTAACGATGGATGTTCTTTTATTTAGGGAAGCAGGATGTTTTAGAATCGGGCACATTTCAAGGATGGATCGCTTATTATAATTTTGTTGTGTACACTATATTTTGGTATTCGTAAAATCACTACTGTGTCTAGTTGAAATGGCATGTTTAGGAATCCTAACTCGACCTTAAAGAGAGCGGCTGGTCTGGACAATGTAGCAGGAGTTGTACTCTGCACAGGGTATATGACAGACGACATTAGTTTGTTCTATAGGGGCCAATGAAGTTTTTGTCTTCGAAATATATATATATATATATATATATATATATATATATATACATATATATATATATATATATATATATATATATATATATATATATATATACTTGACGACTAGAATTTGTCTAGTCCATTATTGTCTAATGACGAGTAATGAGCAAGGGATCTCTACTTTAGGCTAAAGTTTTCATCATAATGTCTGTTGGGTTCGAAATTTCAAAAAGAACAAATTCATCATCTTGCCTCTAGGGCGTGCATATTATGTGGAGAGATCTAAACACTGAGTTTTCTCAAATTTTTTTTTTATGAAATGAAGTGAAACAATAACAGCATTACAGTTAAAGTTCAAACTTTTGGTCGTTTACTTGCAAGCAAAACGTTATCTCATGAAAAAACGATCCAGTAAAAAGAAATTAAACTTAGGACTAAATGCGTTCTGCGGTAGATGAAATTCTGGTCGCTGATAAAAAACTCGAAACAGTGTGTTCTTGGAAATAAGGCCGCTATTAGACTAGGCAACTGGTGGAGCGACCAAGTTGCTTCACTAGTGACTCAGTAAGTCATGAAAAATTTAAGTAAATGTGACTTATTAGACTACGGCAACTAGTTGCGCAACCAGAAATTGTTGTTGTGACCGAACCAGGCCACCATAAGAGTAAGGCATATTAGGTAACTTGTTACGCAACTGGTGGAGCCACCAGATTCAAGCACAAACAATTTTGGGCAACTGGTGGCCGCTAATTGCCACCAGCAAAAATGAATACGATTGGTAGTGAATAGTTAATATTGTTCCGTTGAGAATATGATATCAAACGAGTCGTTGTTTTTTCTTGCCGTTTTATTAAAAAAGAAAAGGAAAGTGAGGAGTAGGAAAATTTATATACATAGAATGTATATGTTATTGTACGTTATATACATTACATTACATTACATTATTATTAAACGGTATTTTCTGAACTTTGTGTCGACGAAGTAAAATTTTTTCCGTAATTTTTAATGTTAAAATGGTTATTTTTTGAGCCTCTGGAGTACATTAAAGATGAAATAAGTGATATTAATACAAAAATAAATAAATATACTACAACTGGCGAACAAAAAGGTTGTGGCTTACAATCTTTTTAAATTTAATCCTGAATTTAATGCGCTAGGGTTGCTCAGCTTTCTTCAATTCTAAATAAAACTATGTTTATATTTGATTGTAAACATGTAGTTTACTAAAAAATCAACTGAAAAATGGGCGAACAATATAACACTAGGCAAAGGGCAAAACTGAGATGACCTAAAAGAGTCATCTAGTCGAATCGCTAGTATCAAAAATTCAAACAACGAAATTAAACTGATATGAATCAATAGAATTGACAAAAGAAGAATAACAAAGTAAGAAATGTAATCGAAAAGGTATGCTAAAAAAGAAAAAAAGACCAAAGAACAATGGATAGACCAAATCAAAACGTCATAACATACACATACATACATAATTAAATGCAGTATAGACATACAGGCCGCTATTAGACTAGGCAACTGGTGGCGCCACCAAGTTGCTCCGCTAGTGACTCAGTACGTCATGCGACATTTAAGTAAATGTGACCTAGTAGACCACAGCAACTGGTTACGCCACCATAAATTGATTTCATTCTGGTGACCAAACCCAGCCACTAGAAGGGTAACACGATCTGGTGGCGCCACCGAGTTTGGGCATTATGTTATATGTACCCTCAAAACAGTTGGGGTTCAGATTGGCCAATTCAATTTTCTATAAAACGTATAGCTAAAAAAGCTAGATTATGCAGCAAAATTAACAGATACCCCATCATTGGGGTATCTGTTGTAATGTATTATCAATATTTAGTGGGATATTTTCAGCGATTCTTCTAATGCATAAACTATTTAAATAAAATTTCTTCTAGTTGTAAACTTTTGCTGGAAGTAAATTTTATCAATACCGTTTTAGTGATATTTATTACTTTTTTTAGCCGAAAATAAGCAGACTAAACTTCAAATGCCATTCTATTTTGATAAAATATCAATATCTTTTCATTCCGAGAAACTGAGAAATCCTTTTTAGAAATTCGTAAAAGCGGTGGAAATCCAAAGGACGAAATTCCGAGTGAACCCCGGTACAAATAAAGCAGTTTTTGGGCTTCTAAAGGCAACCATAACAGGACAAATTATATTAGACGGAGAAAGGCACGTGACTCATGTCTCATATGGTTTTTCTCTCCACTTTTTACACCGTGTCCTTAACACGAACAAAACACCCTCAATTACAAAGTTTGCTGAGTTTTCCAAACAGTAAAAGAAAATTGCATTAAAAACAATTGATGGGTAAATTGGAAACTTGTACAAAGCTAAAGGATTAATCTAATTTTAGAAAATAATACTTGGAAACCTAGAAAACAACGGAATTTAAATGGTTTCAATTCGAAGTTTGAAGGTTAAAACGGGGAATTAATGCGTGCATTACTGTTCGATTTATAGTACAGTGGCTTATTTAATTAACTTATCGGTTATTATAAAAAATGATTTATAGGATAAGATTTTAGTGACTTGTAAGTTTAATAATTAGGTGAAGCTTACCATAATCATCAGTAGTTGTTAAGTAATTTGTTAAAAGAAAATCTAAGACGACGAAACATTTACTATATTTACTTTGAAAGGGTTATACTGGCTGTTGCCACCTCCATAAAAGAGCCTTAACTTCAAAGATACGTGAAGCAGTAAATAAAATAAATTTAATTACATTAGAAGAAACAATAAACAAAGCTCATCTTTTTAATTTACTCGAAACGTCTTCTGTAGAGTACAGCCCCTAACGGAGACAACTAGCTCCGGAGAAAGAGGCATAGTTGGTAGTCCCTCTTTAAATATTTTTATGCGGTACGAAGCTTTCAGGAACACTTTTTTAGTTTGTGCTTTACTATTAACATTTTCGTAGCAACTTCGTATTTCTTCGGTCACAGAATAGCTCCTTGAGTCAAGCATATAAGACAGATGAGGTTGGGATAGAACAGCTGAATAAACCTTCCGGTTTTGCCATATTCGGAGTAGCATGATAAATAAATACATAAAACTTTTCATCCACAGTGGCCAGAGAACACATGTTTAATGCTGTCGTTGATAAATCTACCAAATATGGGAAAAATACTCTAAAACCAATGTGTCTATCAGAAGATTCGTTACGTATCTGCCACACATTTTGGTCGTTACATTAGCAGAAATCCACATAACTCTATCCAGCAAAACTTTTGTTTAGATTCGCTAGGAATGTTTTTATTAGCACAGTATTTCTTAAGCAAGTTTTAAAATGCCTTATTTAGTTTGTTACAAGGTATAGTACATGCAACTAGAGCTTTATCTAAGTCTTAGGGCGAGCGCCCACCAAAGTGGCGTGGCAAGTAGCACGTAGCAAGTAGCACGCGTCTAGCATGTTTCTTAAAATGTAACCAATGAAAACGAATGATTAGAATGAATGACGTCACTGTCATTTTGGTGTATGCTGAATCATTCGTTTTCATTGGTTACATTTTAAGAAACATGCTAGACGCGTGCTACTTGCCACTTGCTACGTGCCACGCCACTTTGGTGGGCGCTCCCACTTATGGAACTTAATTGAGGTTCTTCATGAATTTGTCTTCATGATTTTGCACTTAAAACTGTTTTATGAATTAAATTACCTCCTCACAAATACGGCAATAGAAAACGTTTGAATACTTCGAAAAGACATCGGGAATATCCTAAATTCAATTATGTATACTTTTCTTAATTGAAATCATTGTAAAAAACCAAAAGAACAACAATGAAAATCTTATCAAGTTTAACGTGAAAAAGTAAAACTAAATAAAAAAAATTATAAAAGTTTTAAAACCATATGTTATTTGGGATGTAAAAACGACATGTAAAAAGAGAAGTAGTAAAAAGTAAAAATGAGATGTGGGATCGAAGATGTGCAGAGGTTGATAAGTATATGAGTGGAACAGGAGTTGGGCAAGCTTAGAAGGTGATAAATTCTCTCCGGCGGGAAGGAAAGGAAAAATCTAATTTACAGTTAATAGGGCTAAAACAGTAGAAACACCATTATGAGGTCTTACTGACAGAGGATAGATGTAAATTCCAAGAGATCGAAATGGAAGAAATATCTGAACACACACAAATAATTGAGATAACCATCGGAGAGTTAAACGATGCCCTCAAAAGATCGAAGATATTTTGGTTAAGCAGCAGGACCTGGAGATCTCCCAATTGAGTTGGTAAAGTATGGACTAAAAATATTACATGAGATGTTCGTTCAACTATTTAACCAATGCTTAAAAGGACAAAATATCCGTGAAGATTGGAATACTGGATACATCAGCTGAATATCCAAAAAAGGGAACGAATAAACGCAAATGCTCTAATTATAGGGAAATGACTATTATCAGCTCAGTAGGGAGGTTGTACGGTCGAATAATAAAAGAAAGAATAGAATCAGAATACGAAGATATAGAGAACAAAATGGATTTCGTGCAGGAAGATCGTGCACTGATGGTATATTCGTTCTGCAGCAGATAATCGAAAAACGGAAGGCAAGGAATCTATCTACCCACCTATTGTTTGTAGAATAGAGAAGGCATGCCATACGGGACCTTTGAAAAAAAATGTTTCCAACATTGACGAACGTAGGTCTCAGTAGAGAGTATGTGGATGAAGGAAATTTTATATCTGAATCATTTCCAATAACAAAGGGGCTTAAACATGGATGTCTATCTCCGACCTTATTTAAATTACATATTCAATCATCGCTAGAGCAATGGAGGAAACAAGTATCCGGAATGGGAATAAACATAGGCGGTGGTAGATGTCTAACAACTTTATTTTTCCCAGATGATCAGGTAGTCGTAGCAAATGATGAGGAAGACATGACTACATGTTTAGAAAACTAAAGAAAGAATATGAAAAATGGGGCCTCAATATGAATATGTCAAAAACAGAGTATCTTAAAATAGGAGATGATGAAGAAGATCCAGAGTTAGAAATTAGAAACACAAAAACATGCAATGAATATAAATATCTTGGATCTATAATACCTAAAGAAGGCACTACCAAAAGAGACATCGAGAACAGAACGCAGCAGGGAAAAAAAACGGTTAACATTCTAAACTCTCTACTATGGTCTAAAGATATTAGACAAGAAACGAAATTGACAATCTATCGAACCTTGGTAGAGCCCATTATGACTAATGGGGCAGAAATTTGGCAGATCACGAAAAAAAAAATAGAAAAAGAATAGAAGTAGTAGAAATGGATTTTCTAAGAAGATCGTGTGGTGTATCCAAAAAGATCATATAAGGAATGAAGATATTAGAAGGAGGACAAATACTGTAAATTCCAGTGTGGACATAATTGAAACGAGCCAACTAGTGTGGTATGGTCACGTGAAGCAAATGAATGAAGATATGTGGCAAAGGAAAGCTTTAAATTACATACCACAACAAAGAAGAAGAAAGGGAAGGCCTTCAGTTTCCTGGGAAGAAAATTTACGACACCTAATGAGAGATAGAGCAAAGAAGACGAATGGATGAACAGAGGACAGAGAGAATAATGTATATATATATATATATATATATATATATATATATATATATATATATATTTAAAATATACTCAATTGTTGAATAGCAGAGGTTATATCGGTCAATAATTGGCAAACGAAAGTCGTCAACTACTTCATTGATTTATTTGAATACGTTTCGCTTTTATTTTTAAAAGCATCATCAGTTCACTACAAATAAAAATAAAAAGATTTACAATATAGGTAAACAATCAAAAGGGTTCATACTTACAAAAACAATTTGTAGGTTTTTTTAGATGTTAAAAAACTCTACGATAACTTAACATTAAAACTTAACAACTAAACGAGAGAAACGAAACAAAAATCGTTTTACTTTTTCACTTAACGGTCATGCTAATCGGCAAAATTGCCGCTACTGGGCCACGGAAAATCCTCATTGTATGAGAGAACACGCTCAATACCCTCAAAAGGTTAATGTTTGGGCAGGGATTGTAGAAAACAATATCATTAATCCCTTTTTCATTGAGGGCAACTTGAATGGCAACAATTATTTTACACTACTTCAAAATGATGTCATTCCAACATTGGTAAATTTATATCCTGATCCAGGAAACCCTCAAGTTCCAGCGAATACGATATGGTTTCAGCATTATGGAGCACCACCACATTACCAACTTAATGTCCGGCAGTACCTCGATTCATAGTTCTTTTTCGTGTTTTACATTTTATTACGTTTTGCTTTACATTTTAGTTTTTGATTGTATTGTAGCGAATTTCGGTAACCACATGATTTTAATTTATTTTATCTTAATTAATCTTAATAAACTTGAAAGCAACAACATTTTTGAATGGAGAATGAATAGACCTTTCAAACTATATATCACAAGCCTATACTTCCTATTTTAAAAATTGGGGGTTGTACCTGTCATTCTAAGGGGGTGGAAGGTAGGGGTTGCATTGTCACGTGAATATCAAGTTATAATTTAAATTTGACGTGTTTCGGGATTTTTTATAAATATGTACACTAACCTAAATAATGAATTTTATTCCATTTGGCTTGTACACGCTGTATATAAGAAATACTGGATATTAGTGACTGTCGATATAAACGCCGATGTCGATATATATATATATATATATATATATATATATATATATATATATATATATATATATATATATATATAGAAAAGAAATTTAATCTTTGCAGATAAGTTAAATAGTAAACTCTTAAATATTGGGGAAATCTGCAAAAAAAACACTGTTTTTGATGGGTTGGAGTCAATAAAAGGGGCTATTTGTTGACTATTTTTTACTCGAGCTTTCAATTGTGATTACAATTTTTATCAAGAGCTTCTAAAAAATACAAAATGTCTTAAAAAGTTGAACTAGAAATAAAAAATTTTTTGTTAACTCACCAAATAAAATTAGTTTTTTATATAAAACTACTGCTTACATATTAAATACAAAAAATATTAATAAAAAAATGTCTTATTCTAATAAATGTTTCTCTGAAAAATTTTGATGAAGTTTCTTAAGAAAAAAAATTGAATTTGTAAACAAAAATAGAATAGCTACAACCAGCCTAAATGTCATAAATACTAACTTAAAAATTTTTATTTTTGACATATTGTCAAAAATAAAATTTTGTTTAAAAAATTCTTCTTTGTTTAGTAACAAAAAAGAAGAAGATTTATTCACCAATGATAGATGCCCGAAAAAAATGTAACAAATACATGGAAAATTCAAAATGTGATATTTTACTGACTGCATTATAAATTAAATAGAAATTATATAATTATAAATTTTGCTTAAATTTTGAATTTGTGACCTTTTGGTTAAATTATTATCACTTTTGCTAATACAAACCATTTCCAAAAAAGTTCTTTTAAATTTATTACTTTCATTACATAAAATTTTAATATTATCAAAATCCATAATATGGTCTTTGTCTATTACATGCTCTGCCAAAGCACAAGATGGTTTCTTAATTCTACAATCACTCTTGTGAGAAATAATGTGATTTGATGTA